GACAGTACACTAAATACCATAAGTTCACTTAGAGTTTGACAGTTTTTTCCATATTAATTATATTAATTCACAGTTGTTAATTAATGTTAAGAAAGGGAATGGAAGGGACAAAGGAAAAGATCGAGATGGACATTAAATAATTCTATTTTAAAGGATAAGGAATTTATACAATGGATGGAGAAAGAATTGGCCTTCTTCTTTAAAGAGAACAGAAAAGAAGACACCTCAATACAGAATGTTTGGGACACAATGAAGGCCTATGTTAGAGGCTTGATAATAGACTATACAAGAAAAAAGAACAACAGGAAAAGGCGAACTCTTAAAGCCTTGGATGATGAATATAAGGGACTTGAAAAAGAATTACAGAAAATGCCACACAGAAAAGATGTTAAAATGAAATTGGATATAACTAAACATAAAATGGATTTAATAGAGAAAGAAGAACTGGCACAGAAAATTAGGAATGCTAAACAGAATTATTTTGAGGATGCAAATAAGCCAGGTAGATGGCTAGCATACAAATTGAGAAAGGAGAAAGAGTCGAGGAAAATACCGCAGTTAATAGACGATCAAGGTAAAATTTGTTATGGCAGCAAAGAAAAAAAAGAGATTATTTATGATTTTTATAAGCATTTGTATAAGAAAGAAGACATTGATGAGGAGAAAGTTAAACAATACCTACAGAATGCAAATCTACCTAAGATACCTAAAGAGATTGAAGAAATGCTAGAAAGTAATATAACAATGATGGAGTTAAGTCAAGCACTTAAGAAACAAAATAATGGAAAGGCACCAGGTCCAGACGGGTTTCCTGTAGAATTTTATAAAATCTTTCAAGAATCACTGTGTATTTCACTGTTAGAAGTTATGAATGAAGTTATGTTAAAAAAGATGATACCTAAAACATGGTCAGAGGCTTACATTACACTTATTCCAAAAGAGGAGGCGGACCTACTGCAAATCAAGAATTATAGACCGATTTCTTTACTAAATGCAGATTATAAAATTTTTGCTTCAATATTAGCAGAAAGACTTAAAAAGTACTTGAATAACTTTATCCACCCAGACCAAAATGGGTTTTTGCCAAAGCGACAAATCAGAGACAATATGAGAGTAATTCTGGACACCCTGGAATACTATGAGGCACATCCTGAAAAACAAATGGCTTTGATATTTTTAGATGCTCAAAAGGCATTTGATAACGTGAATTGGAGATTTATGTTACTTTTAATGGAACAGATGGGCTTTGCTAGAAGATTTATTCAGGCAATAGAAGCAATTTATAATGAACAAACAGCTAAGGTAATGATGGAGGGAGAATTTACAGATCCTATTAATATAAGAAAAGGCACAAGACAAGGTTGTCCTCTTTCTCCCTTGATATTTGTATTGACTTTGGAAGTGTTGAATAGAAATATCAGAGAAGATAAAACTATAAAAGGAATGAAAATTAAAAAGGAAGAATTTAAACTACAAGCCTTTGCAGATGACCTAGTCTTTATCTTGGAAGATCCTATAGAAACAGCCTCGAAACTGTTGGAAAAGATAGAGGTCTATGGGGAGGTGGCTGGTTTGAAAATAAATAGAGATAAAACAAAGATTTTGTCAAAGAATATGTTGCTGAAACAAAGGGAAGAGTTGGCAGAACTGTTAAAAATTCAAGTTACAAACAAGGTTAAGTATCTGGGGATATATTTGACATCAAGATGTAGTACATTGAAGGAGAATAATTATATTAAACTTAAACAACAGATAGCTCAAGACTTGAAAAAATGGGAGAACTTACAATTGTCATTAATAGGAAGGATTTCAACAATTAAGATGAACATTTTACCCAGAGTCTTATTTTTGTTTCAAACAATACCAATTAGGCTTGGAAAAGAATATTTTGAGGATTTAAATAAAATTGTTTTGAAGTATATATGGCAAGGTAAGAAAGCAAGAATAAAGTTAAAGCTTTTACAGGATGCTAGATTTAGAGGAGGGTTTGGACTGCCTAATTGGGAGTTGTACTACCAAGCTGCAAACTTGACGTGGGTTAAAGAATGGATAACATTAAGGAAAACCAGATTGTTGACATTAGAAGGTCATGATTTGTTGTTGGGCTGGCATGCTTTTTATGGTACAAGGGAACTAAAACACAGGGGTATTTTAGAAGGCATTATATACGGGAGTCTCTGTGGTTGAATTGGGAGAAGATAAAAAAACAGTGTTATTTGAAAATTCCAGTTTGGTTATCGACGATAGAAGCGTTTTCTTATCCTATAATCTATAAAAAGGAACAAACAGTTAACTATGGGGAATTATTAGATGAAAAGGGTGAACTTAAATCGATGCAAAAATTGGAAGAACAAGGTATACGGATGAATTGGTTTTCATATTTGCAAATATATTCAAAGTACTATGAGGATTCCAAAGCAGAGGGATTTTATGATAAGCAAACTGACTTGGATAAGATTTTGATGGGTACTGATGAAAAGGTGATTAAAAAATTGTATGGTTATTTATTGCAAATTAAGCTTGAGGAAGAACAAGTTAAAGAAACTATGATTGCGTGGGGGAGGAATTTTGGATATGGGATTGATTTAGAGAAATGGCAGAAATTATGGTCGCAAAACTATAAAATGACAATGTCTACAGCCTATAAAGAAAACTTGTATAAGATGTTTTACAGGTGGCATTTTCCCCCGACAAGGATAGCAAGAATGTTTAAGAACAAATCCGAAAAATGTTGGAAATGTCATCAGAAACCTGGTTCATACTATCACATGTGGTGGACTTGTGAGGATGCTAGAAAATATTGGACTAAAATCCACATGTGGCTGGAAAAAATGACAAAGAAGCATATAGACTTGAAACCGGAGTTTTTTTTATTGGGAATACTACCAGATACTTATAGTAAAGAGTTGAAATATTTGATTGTAAATGTATTGACTGCTGCTAGGATTGTATTTGCAAAAAATTGGAAAAATGAGAAAATTCCATTGCAAGAAGAAGTTGTAAAGAAAATTTTGGAATGTGCTGAGATGAGTAGATTGACTTTTGAAATTAGAGAGCAAGAAGATAAACAATTTTATTTAGTTTGGGATCTTTTCTATCAATGGTTGAATGATGAAATATTAAAATATAAAAGTTAGATAATAAGGAATAATAATGACTTTATTTTCCCTTTCTTTTTATTGGTTTTTGATACTATATTTATATAATAGTTTTCTTTGTTTCTTTCTTTTTCATATTTGGGATAGAATTGGTATGATTATAAGATTTGTTTTAGAATAAAATATTTAAAATATAGTTATCTCATAAAGGCATGACCGAATAAAAGTTTAGTCAAATTTTTTTTTTTTTTTCTTTAATAGAGATATTAGGATTTATAAATTTGTATTGATAAGAGTATTATATAAAGTAACTGTAATTGTGACTATGAGGTGAATGCACAAAACCGATGGACCAACCGACTTACGGTGTGTACAAAAATATGGGGGAGCTGATACTTTTATGTTTTGTTGTTGTGTTTTTTATGTTAAAAAAATAATAAAAATTTATATTTATAAGAAAGGGTAATCTATCTAGGAGCTTCCATCATTAATAAAGAACAATGTGGGTGAAGTGAAAAATTAGATTTATTTTTTCCATAAGCAACCACAAGGTCTTTTTTTTCCCTGTAGGATCCATGCCACCAAGGTATGGCAAGAGGTGTGGCACTCTGTATGAGTGTCAAACTCTGAATGCATTTCCAGGGTCAGGAGTTAGTGCCATTTGTTGTGGCTTTGACAGATGCAACCGTTAGTGTTCCCTTTCAACGGGAGACCTTCTCAATGACATCATTGGCTTCAACTGATAGCATTGGATGTGATTTGTCTGAAATTGAAGAGTGATTTCGAATGTGCTGCCAGTAATCAGTCCTATCTGGATGGAAAAATAAATAAAATTTTACATTGTAAGGGCTTGGTTTTGTCTATCCTGTGTCTACACCAAATCAATGTTTTTGGAGTTTCCTCGGGTACTGATAATGTTGCATAAAAGCTAACACAAGTGTACATTATATCCCTGAACATCACAACTCTATGCCAATTATCAAAACTCAAGATGAAAAGAAAAAGCTTAACATTATTTCACACCAATATGCATATGTATATCGCCATCATTTACCTTACTCTTTACACTTTCCAACTTCAACAGCTGATTAGCAGTTTTTTGGGGAGTCTTGCTGTCTTTAAAGTTGGACTACAAAAATTATCTCTCATCCACCATTTTGATGGGAATGTACAGCCAAGCTGGCATGTAGAACCAATTTCTGGGTGGGGTGAGAAGGAGAAGTTCCCCTAACAAAACTATGTCCTTCTAGGAATCAGTAAAGGATGATTCTAACCAGATACAACACAGAGCTGCTATTAAGGTCTACCTCGTGGTGGTAAGAGTGGGTAACAGCTTTATTTCTCCTCGCTTATTTTGTCCTCAGAGTGTCACCCGGTAGCCCTGTTCCAGATCATCTGGTCCCTCCTGGGACAGTGGGGTGTATGTGTCAGGTGATCATCTTCAGGGCTGTGCAGAAGAATTTGTTCAACCCCAGGTAGACAAAGTCACTCAGATTCATTCCCATGTGTGGACCAAGTTCCAGTCATGCATGACTCCTGAGGAGTAGTATTTCCTGGTTATCTGGGAACGGTTTTACGCTGTTGAACCTGACAAAGCTGATAACGTCCTTGGTGCTATCACCACCACTACCTGTCAGTTAGATCCTTGTCCCTCTTGGATGGTGAAAGCCTCCAAGTCAGTGACTGGCAGGTGGATTCAGGCAGAGGTCCTGGCTCACCCCCTCCTTAAAAAGCCATCACTTGAACCCACCTGCTAGGACAATGTTCACTCTCTTTCCAATCTTCCCTTTTTAGGGAAAGTGGCGAAAAAGATGGTTGCCTGGCAGCTTCAGAGGGTCCTGAATAAAACAGATTATCTGGACTCCTTTCAATCAGGATTCAGGCCTGATTAGACCAAGTGATCATGCTTGTTGATGATTTCTGGCGAGAGTGGGATTGGGGTAATGCAACCATCCTCACTCTCCTTGACCTCTCAGTGTCCTTCAGTGCCATTGGTCATGGTATCCATTCAGCTGGCTATGAGGACTGTGGCTGCACGGCACGGTTTTCTGCTGGTTCAGCTCTGTTTTCCAAGGCCCCTCCCAATCAGAGTTAATAGGGAGTGAGAGATTCAGCCCTCACCCACTATCTTGTGGCATGCGGCAGGGCTCAGTCCTGTCTCCATTCCATTTTAACATCTACATGAAGCCACTGGGTGAGATCAAATGTAACCATGACTACCGTTATCTAAAATAGGGCTGATGATATCCAACTCTACATTTCCAACTCTGGTGGCCCACATGATGCTGTTGCTGCCCCCTCAGGATGCCTGGAGGCTGTGGAGGCCTGGAGGAGGAACACAGGCTTTGAGTGAACCCTGGCAAGACCAAATGGCTTTGGGTGCACGGAGCCCCAAGATCTAGGACTTTGACATCTATAGTTCTGGATTGCATAGCACTACCCCAGACAGATCCAGACCTCAACTGGGAGATTCTCCTGGACTCGTGACTCTTGCTTGAAGAGCAGGTGGCAAGTGCAGCTAGGAATGCTTTTGCACAACTTCATATTGTGTACCAGTTGCAGCTCCTCCTGGGTCAGGAGTGTCTGCCCTTGGTCTTTCAAGCCCTAGTCATCTCGCGGCTGGACTATTGCAACACACTCTACATGGGGCTGCCCCCTTGAAAAATATTTGAAAGCCACAGGTAGTACAGAGTGCAGCAGGCAGTCAGCTCTTGGGGCCCAAAAGCTGGCCCATGTAACACCACTGCTCTGGGAGCTGCCCAGGCTACTGTTTTGCTTCCGGATGCAATTCAAGGTGTTGGTAGTCACCTTTAAAGCCCTTCATGGCATGGGTCCTGACTACTTGAATGACCATCTCATCCCACTGGGATGGGCACGCCACCTCCCAGTGGGCTGGCAGAGGAGGCATGCAGTGGGCCCCATCGGCCAGACTATTCTGGCTGGCGGGGTTCTTGAGAAGGGTCTTCTCTGCCACTGAGTCTGCCCTTTGGAACATCTTTCCCCCCTCCCCCCACCAAGTGAGGCTGGCTCCAACCCTCCTGACCTTCTGCAAAAGCTTAAAGACTTGACTCTGCCAGTTGGCTTGCAGCTCCAACGGAAGGTTTTCAAATTGGGGGTGGCTGATAGGCTAATAACAGATACCCTCTCCCTGCTTCTCATCCTACTCCCTCCACCCCTCCTCATCTTTTAGTTAGGGCGGAATAATTGGATCTTTGATCGTATTTTATTTATATCATTTAGGTCAGCAGTCGCCAAACAGTGGGCCGTGGCCCACCGGTGGGCCATGAGAAAATTTTGGTGGGCCACAGAGAAGTCACACCCCCAGAGCACCCCCCCAAAGCAATTAACCCAGGTTGTGCAGAAACACAAGGCTGTGCCACCCACATGGCCCGCGGGAACCCTCCCTGCCCACTCACTCCTTACCCGGCAAACTTGCCTGCTAAATTTCTATTTTTCCTTTTTCTGACCATCATCTGTTCTGCTGTGCCAAGAGATTTAGATTAGCTAGGAAGCAGGAAATGGTTGGATTTCTTGCTTTCTAGCTAGTCTTTAGATCTTTGGCTCGGCTTTTAAGTACAGCGAACCTCCCTTAGGACTGAAGTTTTGCTTGCAGGCAAATTCAGTGCAGACTCACAGCAAGCAAATTTGAGAGACTGATCTAGCCGATGGCAGATAGATAGATCACTGAATGATTCTATGAGCAACTCAGTCTGCCTGCTTTGCCTGATTTGGGGTAAAAGTTGCTCTTTTTTAAATAAACAATTCAATATTTACATACATGGTGTATTATGAGTTAATTTTGTGAGTTTGCTTGCTAGCAAATTTTATGAGTTTGCTTGCAGGTAAATTTTATGTGACAGACTGAGCTAGCTGATGGCAGATAGAATTCTGAATGAATCTGTGATTCTGTGAGCAACTCCATCTGCCTGCCTGCTTTGCCTGATTTTAGGTAAAAGTTGCTCTTTTTTATAAAAAAATCAATATTTACATCAATATTTATAATATTTATATAAAAGCCATGCCCAGCCAGTCACATGACCACCAAGCCACAACCACAAATTAGGCCACGTCCACAGGACCAGTTAGTGGTCCCTGGGATCTAAAATTATGAGTTTGGGGGTCCCTGAGGTCCAAAAGGTTGGCAACCCCTGATCTAGGTTTTACATAGTTTAATCTTCTAATATTGTAAGATGCTCAAGTTACCCTTGTGGTAAGATGGGTGACCAATAAATTTTACATATAAATAAATAAATAAATATATTACAATACCACTGAGAAAGAAAAACAAGAAACCCAAGAAGAAACCAGCATGGCTGCACAAAGATCTCTCTGGAAAATTGAAAGAAAAAAAGGACAAGTACAAAAAATGGAAAGAAGGACATACAACTAAGGCAGAATATTGGCAGATAGCCAGAATCTGCAAAGACAAAGTCAGGATAGCAAAGACTCAGAACGAACAAAGACTTGCAACAAAAGTCAAAGATAATAAAAAAAAGTTTCTTCCAACATATAAATAACCAGAAAAAAAAATCAAAGAAACAGTCAGTCCACTAAAGAGAGAAGACGGCAAGAAGTAACAGGCAACAGAGAGAAAGCAGACTGTTTAACTCTTTCTTTTCATCGGTCTTCACGCAAAAAGAAACTATAGCTCAACCCACCAAAAACATAACTGTAAAAGACAGACCAGAAATAAAAGTTAAAATAAGCAAAAAATAGTAAGAGAACACCTGTCTGATCTTGATGAAAACAAATCACCAGGACCTGATGGATTACATCCCAGAGTTTTAAAGGAGCTGGCAGAGGTCATCTCAGAACCACTGAACCATATCTTTCAAAAATCCTGGAGCACCGGGGAACTACCAGAGGACTGGAAAAGAGCTGATGTGATTCCCCTCTTCAAAAAAGGGGAAAAAACAGACCCAGGAAACTACAAACCTATCAGCCTAACATCAATACCCAGGAAGATACTGGAAAAGATAATAAAAAAACCGATCTGCCAACATCTAGAAACAAATAAAGTAATAACTAGCAGTCAGCAAAGGTTTGTTAAGAACAGATCATGCCAATCCAATCTGATTTCATTGTTCAACATAGTGATTAAATTAGTAGACCAGCAAAATAATGTGGACATAATATATTTAGATTTCAGCAAGGCATTCAATAAAGTAGACCATAACCTACTTCATAATAAGCTAGAAAAACGTGGGATAGCACCACCACTAGATGGACTTGCAACTGGCTGGCAAACCGTACTCAACGAGCAGTCTTTAATGGGTCTAAGTCTACATGGAGAGAAGTAAGCAGTGGGGTGCCACAAGGTTCCGTCTTAGGCCCAGTACTCTTCAATATCTTCATTAACGACTTAGATGAGGGAATAGAAGGGGAACTTACCAAATTTGCAGATGATACTAAGCTGGCAGGAATAGCTAACACCCAAGAAGATAGGCTCAAGATCCAGGTGGATCTTGACAGATTAGAACACTGGGCTGTATCTAACAAAATGAAATGCAATGTAGAGAAAACTAAAGTCCTACACTTAGGCAAGAAAAACCAAAGGTACACATAGAGACTAGGTGAAACCAGGCTCAATAGCAGTAACTGTGAGAGGGATCTTGGAGTCTTAGTGGACAACCAGCTAAATATGAGCCAGCAGTGTGCAGCAGCAGCCAAAAAAGCTAATGCAATCCTAAATTGCATTAACAGAGGGATACACTCAAGATCGAGTGAGGTACTAATACCACTCTATAAAGCCTTAGTAAGTACTGCATCCAGTTTTGGTCACCACATTATAAAAAAGATGTTGAGACTCTAGAAAAAGTACAGAGAAGAGCAACCAGGATGATTAGGGGAGTGGAGACTAAAACATGAAGAACAGTTACAGGAACTGGGTTTGGCGAGTCTAGTGAAGAGAAGGACCAGGGGAGACATGATAGCAGTCTTCCAATATTTGAGGGGCTGTCACAGAAAGGAGGGGGGTTAATTTATTTTCTAAAGTGCCTGTAGGCCAGACAAGGAATAATGGATGGAAACTGAACAAGGAGAGATGTAACCTGGAAAGGAGGAGAAACTTTCTGACAGTGAGAACAATCAACCAATTGAACAGCTTGCCCTCGGAAGTTGTGGAAGTGCCATCACTTGAGACCTTCAAAAAGAGATTGGACTGCCATTTGTCACAAATGGTGTAGGGTCTCCCGCCTGGGCGGGGGGTTGGACTAGATGACCTACAAGGTCCCTTCCAACTCTGATTATCTGTTATCTGTAAAATGCAGAAAAAACCAAATCAATTGAGTTTGGAATGCTTAAAATATTCAGAGGACAGGTGGCCATAGACCTATTCCAAATCATTGAGACCCTAAGCTGTAGATGGTATTAGAAGACCCATTAGATTACATTAGAAGATTAGAATTCTTTATTGGCCAAGTGTGGTTGGCCAATCAAGGTTTCTGTACAGGGTTAATTGAATCACATGCTCCTTCATCTTATTCCCCGACCCCCAACAGCAATGGCCCCATAATCTAGATCTATGTCTGACTGCAAGCTCTAGTCCTTGAACCACCTCACAGCTAGTCCTTGTTTAACAAGGGCAGGTAATTTGACACTGTGACAGGGTCTTGTTCAGCCCTCCAGTTACACCTTATTGAATAAATTTCATTAAATAAAGCACAGCTTTATGTGTTTGCACATAAATTCAATCTAAAGGGCAAGTGGCCATAAGCGTATATATTTAACAGAAAATCAAATATTTAGTATACTTCAGAGGCTCAGGTGGAGGAAATATTTTAATTTTAAGCAATCAGGAACAGGCAAAGAATGATCGAAACTCTTTGACATCTTATCAGCTGAGCTCCATAAATAAGTCAAAAAGTCGAAAGTTTTACATTGTGATCTGTACAAGGTTATTTACCTGTTGAATAAAAAATGGTTTTCTCTTTCTATTACCACTCCTACAATAGAATTATTGCAGAATAAATGATGGCATTTCATCTCCCCCCACCTTAAAAAAGGGAGGAAGTAAGAAAACACAAGTATATATATTTGCAGCCGTAAAAAGGGTTAGCAAACCATAGCTCAGTTTTATCTCAGCTATACCAAAGGTAAGATCCAGCTTTTCCATTTTAATTCATTATTGCTTCTTTATATCATAAATACATAGAAGAAAATTCTTATGGAGAATAGACCTTATAGTCTAAATTAGAGGAAGAAATGCAAGCCCAAGAAAACAAGGTTTTAATGTTATTGCTGTATTATAACTATTACAATTATTATTATTTTTAATTACTTCATTTTCTTTAGCCTGAATATATTAGAGAAAAATACTGTAACAAGAATTAGGGAGGGCAGTTGCACTGTTTCCAGATGATAGTGAACCACACGTTCCAGCACGCATTAACACCGGCTAGGCTGCAGGCTTACACTTTCCTACCTTTCAGATGGAAAAAACAGGATCCTTTTATGAGGAGCATTTCTCATTATAAATATAGAGAATTCTTAAAACATAAGGTCACAAAGAGTGTAAAGCACAGTTAAGATAATGGTAATGCTAGGATATACATTTTAATTGATCTGAGCATATTGAATAGCTCCAAATATTAAATAGTGTTATGAACTTAGGTGGGTCTTCCGGGTTCATTGGACACAGAATCTTTTGTGAAAATCAAAAGAAAAAGTACTCTGAACAGCTAGTGACCCCGATTTCCAACTTTTGACTGCAGGCAATCCGTTTCCAGAAAAACAATGAGAAAAATAATCTTGTGCGTTCTTGCTGTAGTGCTTTGGTCACAAGGTAAGTTACCAGTCATGATCACACAACTCTGGCCGTTCTTTCACAGACCCAGTCCCCTCCTCTTAAAACTGAGAGGCCCTAGACTGCAGATCCTACATGCATAAGCATGCTTGAGATCCAAAGGGGATTTGGTGGTACTTGGGGCACACTGGCCAGCACTGGCCAACTTTGCCCAGTCCTGGGCTTCCCTTCCTAATAATAAATTGCTGTGCTCCTCCTCTTTTTTGTCAGGGTGCAATTCAGGTGCTTAAATGCTAGGCTGCATACAATAGAGCTAAGTCAACAATTAATCCTTTTCCTGCCTGTCCTACAGCAATATGTACTTGACTATTTAAATTTTCATGATCAAGGAATGCCAAAGTTCTAAACATATTATTTAAATACAACAGTTTTCTTACCTTTGTCTTTAATATTATTGTCCGCTGTGTCTCATTATGAGCTGTACAATAGGCAATTTATGGGTTCCATCTAGTATCTGAAATGGATCATCTGCCCAGAATCCCTTCTCTGTTCCTTAAAAAAATCAGAAATAAGAAGAACAACGTAATTTTTTTGTCTGCTAGGAAGGAAAGTTGTGACTGTACAATTCTGATTCCAATCTATGTTTTCCCCCTCTCCTCTTCAGCATATTTGGCACATATATTTGTGTATATCTATAAACTGCTTCCCTGGCCCCCTATGTAAATATTGTGTGACATATAAAACACATTCAGAAAAATGTGTAACAGAAGAAAATATGAATGATTTTTTAATCGTTAAATTCCTAAAAAGAAGCTGCACATCTCAATTCTCTAATAGTAATTTTATCAAAATGTATACCTTCAATGACCATATAATGTCAGAAGAAAATATAATTTTTTAAAAATTGTTAACTTCTTAATGAGGAAGCTTCATCTTTGAATTTTCTAATAGTAATTTTAATTAAAATTTATACAGTCAGTGATAAAATAACTTATACAAAGTAAAAGAAAAAGAATAAATAGAAGATGAAAGTGCAGGGGAAAAAGAGAAAAAAATAAAAATAAGAATATAGTAAGGAAAAAGAAAAGAAACATATAAAGACTTTCCTCTTCTCAACAAATATAAGCAATTTTAATAAACTTATCAGTTTTACTTAAATAACTTAATAGTAAAACTTATCAGTTTTACTTAAAACACAACAGATGACTCCATCTTCTCATATCCCTTCTCACGCAATCTATCTCTATCAGTAGTAAATCTTAAAATTAACTTCTGGGTCTGTTGTTCCAAAATATCCTTCAACATGTTCAATGTTAAAATATTTTATTCCATTCTGAAAAAGCAAATCAAAAACTAAAGCGTTCTCCTCATTAATTCTAATTTTTACTTTGTTCTACTTACTCGCACTGCCCGAGCTTCAAAGTCTCATCCTATAATTTAAAAATCAAAAGAATTCAAAGCAAAAGCATTTTCTCACAGGAACAATTCTTACAATTAATTCCAAATTCTTATTTCAAGTCCATATGGATCTTGTTAATCTGTATTTGTATTTCTTCCATTCATAAGTTTCCAAGTCATAATCATCCTTTTGCTGTTCATTCATTTTTTTAAAAAAAAAGTATTTCTTAAACTTGTATTAAAAAGTTCTTTCACTAAGAGGATTTGAAATCTGAGCTAATATGGTTGGACTTAGAAGGAAGGACTCTGGGTTTGCAGATCTGGATTAATGATATTCTAATTCTTTTAGTAGTAATATATGCCCCAAATGGAGACCAAAAAGAGTTCTTTAAACACCTATATAGAAAATTGGTTGAATTGCAAAAAAGAAATATCTGCATAGCAGGGGACTTCAACTCCATTGCTGATTTCCAAAATGATCACAGTAATGCCGGGAAGAATAAAAAGGGGAAGAGAGAGCTCCCCAAGATTTGTAGGGAAATGATGAAAGAGCTAAATCTGACAGATATATGGAGAAGATTACATCCTGAAAAAAGACAATTTACATTTTATTCAAATCCCCACCAAACATGGACACGGATCGATATGGCATGGATGAGTGGGGAAATAGCAAACGAGACAAAAGAAGTGGAAATTTTGCCTAATGAATGGCTGACCATAATCCAATACAGGTAATATGGAAGGGCAGGGCAAAACCAAAGAAAAGCTGGACCCTAAACACTCAATTAATAAGAGAGAAAGAATACATTAATAAATTAAAGGAGGAATTGAATTTTTTTATAAAAGAAAATGATAATGGAGAAACCACGAAACAAAATGTTTGGGATACGATGAAGGCAGTTATAAGAGGCATAACAATCTCTTATAACGCCGAGAGAAACAAGGAAAAACATTCCCAACAAAACAAATTACAACAAAGAATTAAGGACCTAGAAACCCTTCTACAAAATAACCCCAAAGAAACCAAACTGCAAAATCAGATAAGTATAGCCAAACACAAACTGAATTTAATTGATCAAGAGAAAATGACTATGAATTTGAACTTAACCAGACAAACCTATTTTGAACATGCCAACAAGCCAGAAAGAGGGCTATCTTATAAATTAAAAGAAAAGAAAGAGAAGAGATTGATATACCAGTTAATAGATAGCAAAGGAGATACATACCAGGAAATAGAATTGAAAAAAGAAATTATTCATAAATACTTTGAAGATTTATACAAAAGAGAGGATGTCAGTGAAGATAGAATAAGGAATTATCTAGATGAAGTAAAAGATAAGGCAATTGGGGAAGAAATGGCTGAACTATTAAATAAAGACATTACTGAATCGGAACTGAAATCAGCAATAGAGAGCCAGAAAAATAACAAAACCCTGGGCCCAGACGGGATCCCAGGGGAGCTATACAAGGCAATAGCAGATCAAATCGGTCCACTTATGGTTGAAGTCTTCAATGATGTTTTACTGGCAGCCAGGATGCCGGACTCATGGAAGGGGGCGTTGATCTCGCTGATCCCGAAGGAAGATACAGATCTCAGATATATAAATAATTACAGGCCGATTTCACTTTTAAATACTGATTACAAAATATTCACACTTATAGCAAACAGATTAAAAAGGATCTTAAACTTGTATATACATGTAGACCAAAACAGATTTCTCCCAACTAGGCAAATAAAGAACAATTTAAGAATAGTATTAGACATACTAGAATTTTACGAAGCCCACCCCGAGAAACAAGTAGCACTTATGTTCCAAGACGCAGAGGCTTTCGACAATCTAAATTGGCAATTTTTAATTCAAAAAATTTATAATTTGAATTTGCGTACCAAATTTGAAAATATTATAACAACTATATACGATACACAACAAGCTAATATAATAGTGAATGGAGAATGCACTCGCCCAATAAAAATAGAAAAAGGAGTGAGACAGGGTTGTCCACTCTCTCCCCTGCTCTTTATATTAGCATTAGAGACATTATTAACACGAATTAGGCGGAACTCAGATATAAAGGGATTAACAGTGAAGAAAGAGGAATATAAATTGCAAGCATTTGCGGACGACATGATTTTCTTCATTGAAGAACCAAAAGACAGGGGACCAAAATTGATGAGTGAATTAGAGAAATTTGGAGCAGTAGCTGGACTTAAAATAAAATAAAAAAACCCAAATTAATGACCAAACAAAAAAACAGGAAATAGAACTAGAAGAAATAATGCATATACAAGTGACAAAGAAAGTGAAATACTTAGGAATTTGGCTAACACCACACTGTAAGACACTTAAAGAAAACAATTATGATAAACTGATACACCAGGTAAAGAAAGATTTAGAATCGTGGGGGAAACTTCAAATCTCACTACTAGGCTGAATTGCTACTATTAAAATGAATATTCTCCCCAAATTCTTGTACCTATTCCAAACGATCCCAATTAAATTAAATAAAAAGTTTTTTGAAGAACTCAATAGAATAACTCTGAAATTTATTTGGCAAGGGAAAAAACCCAGAATAAATGTAAAAGCAATGCAGGATATGAAGAGCAGGGGTGGGTTAGCATTTCCAAACTGGGAGTTATAGTATATGGCCACCTCGTTAGTTTGGTTGAAGGATTGGGTGAATTTAACCAATAAAAGAATACTATTTCTAGAAGGCCACGATTTACAAAGGGGGTGACACGCCTTTCTATGGGATGTAGGGAAAACCAATCAAAAATATTTCCATAGACATTTAATTAGAGATGCACTTTTAACAATTTGGAGGAAAATAAGGAAAAAACATTATACAAAAGTACCAGTATGGATTTCAACAATGGAGGCAATGATTCACCCAAACAATTTGGAGCTTACCAAAATGATCAAATACAAAGACTTATTAGACCCACAAGGAAATTTGAAACCGAGGCCGGATCTTCAGGACATAAAGTTGATCAATGGGTTTACCTCCAGATTCAAAACAGATACAAACAAGACAAAAAAGAATTCGGAATTAATAACAAACTGCAACAATTAGATAAAATTTTATTAGGATCCAATAAAAAAAAACACAAAATTTTATAACTACTTATTAGAAACAGAACTAGAAGAAGAAATTGTAAAAGGAAATATGATTGCTTGGAGTAAGAACGTAGGGCGCAGCATCACATTAGCGGAATGGGAGAAAGTTTGGGGCAGAAACAATAAGATTACCAAATCGGCAGCATACAAGGAAAATCTTTATAAAATGTTTTATAGATGGCATCTTCCCGCTTCAAGGTTAGCGAAGATGCACCCCAACATGAGTCTGCATTGCTGGAAATGTAGGAAAAAAGAAGGAACCTTTTTCCATATGTGGTGGTCTTGTGCAGAAACCCAAAAGTATTGGAAGAAAATTAAAACTTGGTTGGAAGAAATCACTAAAGAGCAGATCAAATACAAACCAGAGTCCTTCCTACTAGGGATTTTTGATAAGCAAATCTCCAAAAAAGCCAAATACATAACAATACACATTTTAACAGCGGCCAGATTAGCCTTCGCTCAACAGTGGAAACATCATCAAATTCCATCAGAAGAAATGATTATTGAAAAAATCTCAAAATGTGCAGAAATGGATAAATTGACTTTGGCGCTAAAAAACAAAGACACTTCACTATACTACGATAGCTAGAATTGTTGGTATAATTGGATTGATCAAAGATAAATTATATATCATAAGACATGAAAGAAAAGTATCAACCTATAATAACAAGGTAGCATTATAAGTTAAAAACAGGTGTGGTTATATGACACAAGTTAAGGTTATGAAAACAAAAGAAGATCTTGCAAACTGTTAAAATAAGAATACTTTTTACTTTGTAACCTCTTTCTTTCTTTCTTCCCCTTTTCTTTTTCTTTCTTTTCTCAAAATTCTTTCCCTCTCCTTCTCTCCTCTTTTCTTTCTTTTTTTTATTTTGCTTATTTGTGTATGTATTGTGATTGGTTTTAATTGTAAAAATTAATAAAATATATATATATATATATAAAAAAAAGTTCTTTCACTATAGAAGGAGACTCATCTGGTGTTTTTAGACTTGTTGATCCCAACATTCCCAACACCTAAAAGCAGTTAACAAACAACTTTTAAATATGTTTTTAAAAGGAAGTATGTAAACACAGCGTTCTAACAGTTTGAGCAAGATGGCTATTCTCTTTTCTCCCATAGTCATAAACTTGCAAGAGAACACTGTTTTGTAGTCCTCTTGTAAGGAGCAATTGTCAGATGTTCTTATGGGCAATCTAAAGTCCTCTCCTTTTTTGGAGAGGCAAAACAGCCTACAGACAGCCATCAACTCAGCAGCTTTTCAATCTGCCATGGTCAGCAGTTCCATTTTTAGCAGAGCTGTCTTCCATTTGCCATTTTTCCCAGAGGTCTCAATTGTCAAATCTTACTGAATTTGAAATTGAGCCATAGTGTTCGGACTTTCCAAAATCTTTCATGCAAATAATTTTCAGCATTTTTACTCCCAAATCTCATCGATGTAATATATTAGCTAAAAGATAGCTGATGGAAATGAGAGATTGAGTTGCTCTTTGCCTCCTCTCTTTCAGCTGTGGACGCTCTGGAATGTTATCATTGTCCCAATGGAGGTCCCAAATGTATTCCCCAAACCTGCTCTAGTTACCAGGACCGATGTATGACCGTATGGTTTACAGGAGTTGGTAAGTATAATAGTATGGAAAAAATAATTATATTTAGCTCTTTAATTTGGGGGTGGGGTGTGAGGACTTCAATGAGCTTTGAAGAAAGGCTATGGAGAATCATCTGACGATGGAATTAGTTGAGATAAAACACACAAACTTTACAAAAGATGCAGCTCTACGAAGGATGCTATTTTCCACTTGAGTTGCTAAGTGCCTCTTTCAAAGGCTGTGTACAGCCTTATTCGCTAATAGATGGGTGGAATACATGTAGCCTTCGACTCAGGAGGCCCAGGAGTCCAGGGGTGGATTTTATTTCTACTTCTCTCTGAACCCAGGCAATAGGTTGTTAACATCCTTATTGATCCAGCCATAGTGGCAATAAACAA